TACCAGGAGATGAGATGTCACAGAGAAAAACACAGAACCTAGATGTAGAATAGCGAGAATGAGGACAGTCAGCCCAATCAGCATCAGAGTGAACAATGAGACAAGAAATGGGGCTAGCAGAGATGAAGGGCCCGTGATAAATGGTGCCTTGTAAGTAAAGTAAAATGCGCTTGAGGGTTTGAAGGTGAGGCTTGCGTGAATCATGCATAATTAGGCATACTTGTTGTACAACATAAGCAGGTGAAGGTCAGATACTGTAGAGCTCTAGTAAGTCTGCGATACAAAGTGAGATCAAGCAGAGACGAGTCAGTGGAGGCACCAAATTTAGAAGATATGTCCACAAATGTTGATAATGGTTTACAGTTGGTCAAAGGAATGGGTGCACATGTGGCATGAGAACTCTAGCAGTACCGATCCGGGATCCGTACAAGTGGCAGGCTGGGAGAATGCTAGAGTAAGTGGGGGGGAATGCTAGAGTATGGGGGAAGCAAGTGGGAGAATGGATGCACAAGTGGCATGAGAAGCAACCAATCACATTGGATCACCTCATTGCTCCCACCTACTCATATCTAGTATAAATAACATCATTTATTTCATTGTAATGGATTAGCTATTGTTTACTCACAAGTATTATACTTCATTCTGGCTCTTATATTAGACTGTGGACCATAACTGTCGTGCGGTCATTTCTTTGTAATCACATTTGTTATACTAATACAATTGGAGCTGTTGGGTGAATTTCATTAATTGTTATTCTTTTCTTAAGCACTTTCTCTTATTGTAAATCCTTCACATCCAAATGTTGGTGTTGAGTCTTTGGATCCATCGGGACTTAAACTCAACAAAGTCTTTTTAAAACATTCACATGAATAATCCAACATATATGCATTCTTCTTGTATTAGGATGTTTTTACTTGGACTGTAATTTGCTGGTCAGATCGGGTCTGGTCTGATCTGGTCTGGTCTGGTCTGGTCTAGTCTGGTCTGGACTGGTCTGGTCTGGTTTGGTTTCTTTGTATTTGTATAACTATCCAAGTCTGGTCTGGTCTGGTCTGGTCTGATCTGGTCTGATCTAGTCTGGTCTGGTCTGGGACGAATTACAGTCCAAGTAAAAACATCCTTAATCCCGGATATGAATAATTTTAGTTTATATTATGGGTAACTTACCCAAAATCATAAAAAAGGAGAGGTAAATTATTGAAAAAGTAAAATAAGATTCAACTTTCAAATAAAGTAATAATCCCCAATCCCCACTGAAATTAAAACTTCTCCATTTAAAGCGCAGTAATGTTACAAAGAAAAAGAGAACACAAATTGGAAGTTGAAGCCCAAGAAGAGAGTCCAACAATGCAGATGAAGAATTTGACTATTGAAATTAAAATTTATGGTCGATCCAAATACAACTGGAAACAAGGCTGTCGAAATTGAAATGGCAAGACCGAAATGAGGCCTTCACAAATCGCCTTAACCCCATAAACCGCAAGTTAACACAACTTAAGAAAATAAAAGAATTCACAAACCAATTTTTTTTTGAAACCGATGAGGTTATTGACAAGTAACTAGGTCAAATTGTCCACACTAGTAGTAGCTCAACGGTTGCTTAAGTAGTTATTGGGTTAAGGTTTCTATTCAAATCCTAAGACCACTTCAAAAGTTTCATCCAGTGTGGTGACTCATTATAAGACCGAACCCCTCTTCCAGAAACTAATACTCCATTTGGTAACACTGAAACTGACTGAATTAACTGATTCTACTGAAATTTATGAAGTTCTGGTTGAAGTGACTGTATTGACTAATTCTATTGATCCATGAAAAAAATATTTAAAATTTTTGTTATTAATAAATAAAATAATAAATTATATAAAAATTAGATAAAATGATCTTCTACAATAACTTCAGCCAATACAACTGAAAAAGTAACTTCAATCTTACTTTTTCTTATTATTACACAATTCAGAACGCAAAATCAAAAGTTAAGGGCTTGTTTACTAACATAAATATTTTCCAGTTTTCTATTTCTGTTTTTCGTTCTCCGATTTTCTGTTTTCATTTTCCAGTTTTTCTATCTCTAATTTTCTGTTTTCATTTTTAAGTTTTTTATTTTCAAATATGAAAACATGTTCATCAATTTTTTTCACCCGGTTTTGTGACCGACCTGAAGACCGTAAGTACAGTCCCATTCCTAAATCAAATCTAGTACAACTCAAGTAGGGTACTAGGTCCCACATATAGGAAAGTCGAGACCGAAACTGGCTGGTTCCGATCGATCTCAACGGCTAGTTTGACAAATTCTTTTCTTATTGATTGACAACTCAACGGCTCTTTTAAAACTCTTCACTTTAAGACATGACTTCCAAAACCGAGATTGAACCGTTGGGTCATTGACCGGCTCGGACAAGGACCATCGGGTCGTTTACTGGACTGGCCCGAGACCGCCCGATTGTCGATCGAACGGAACACAGATCGTCGGGTCATTGGCCGGAAGAGATGAGATTGTCGAGGCATTGATTGGACATGACGGGGACCGCCGGGTGGTTGACCAGATAGGATGAGGACCGTCGGGTCATTGATCAGACCGGACGAAAACTGTCGAGTCGTTGACCAGACGAGATCGAATCGGATCGAACAGAGACCGTCAGGGACCGGACTGGATGAGGACTACTGGGTCGTCGATCGGACCGGGACCGTCGGGTCGTCGGCTGGGCCCAACCGAGATTGCTCGGCCATCGATCGGACCAGATAGGGACCATAAGGTCAATGACCGGACCGGGCCGCCGGGTTGTTGACCGGATTAGATAGAGACCGTAGGGTCATTGACCGGACTGGAACTGACACCGGAGCGTGACCGGATCCACCACTAGACATAAGTATGCAAATTAATTAAAGCAACAATGCAACGTCCGCGTTTTCCAAATTTGGAAAACTAGTTTACATCACTTCTCTAATTCATTAAAGAAAAGAGAGACATTTCTCATTTTTTTGTTTTGGAAAATGATTTGGTAAACGCATTTTTCTGTTTTCCTTTCTCCAGTTTTCCAGCAATTTTCTTTGGTAAACACGTTTTATGATTTCATTTTTTCAGTTTTCCAATTTTCTGAAAAATTGGAAAATATCTCTATTAGTAAACAGGCCCTAAATATTTGATGAAAAAGCTAGCTGATAAATCTGATAAGACGAAAAAAGAAGTGGCCAAAACGCTCTGAAATTTATATGGTCACTTGTGACTTGTGAGACTATCATATAGGGTAGACCCAATTCGATCCTTGTTCTAGACAAATTAGTTTTGGTCGCGAGCTAGAGACTTACCTGGGTATAACTAAATGATTCTGATTTTCAGATCAGTTTCAACCTTGTTCAGAATCTAGTCAATTTAAATGAACTGCTCTGATTCTTTTTAGGAGAAGCGAAGTTGGAAAACACTCTAAACTGGGACCCACAACACTATTCCTATCTCAGATTGGCTGAATTGTAATTTAATTTTAATGCAAGCCCACTGAAATTTTGTGGTGGTTGTAGTTTCGCGAGTTTTTTCCCGGAATAAGGCTAATTAAATAAATTATTCTCGAAATACTGTCGAGTTAAGAATAATTCCCAAAATACTGCTGGAATTAATCACGGTTAATGAAAGCCGCCACTCCAAGTGACGGCTCTTGTATTACTTCACAAAAGCCGCCACTCCGAGTGGCGGCTCTTCTCTTATAGTACAAAAGAAGTGGCGGCTCTTCTCTTACGTCCCATTTTGTGAAGTGACGGCTCTTCTCTTACGTCTCATTTTGTACATATATAAAACGCTGTATGTTTCAAGAATTTGTTTAACTACCTTCCCGATTGAATTTTGAGCTGAAATTTGGTATGCATTAGCTAGACTTGATGACGAACATGCTCAAAAAAATTAATCAAAAAATTCCACCGCAAACACCCTCTGATGGTGTTGTCCGCGGGGGGTTCTGGTCAGGATGTCATGACAAAAGGGTGGTCCGGCCACCTCAATTTGAGGTGGTTCCCGGTGGTATGTTTTGATGAAATTTTTTGTGTATGTTCTTGATAAAGTCTAGTTCAGTCATACCAAATTTGAACAAAACATTCAATCCGAAAGACCGTCAAATGATTTTTGAAAGATAACTATGCCGAATTATACATATAAAACACAGTTATCTTTAAAAAATCATTTGACTACTTTCCCGATTGAGATTGGTTCTGAAATTTGATATGGATTAATTAGACTTAATGAATAACATACACAAAAAAATTCAGCAAAACATCCCACTGGGAATCACCTCAAATTGAGGTGGCCGAACCACCCTTTTGTCATGACATCCTGACCGAAACCCTCCGCGGACAACACCATCAAAGGGTGTTTTCGATGGAATTTTTTGATGAAGTTTTTTGAACATATTCCTCATCAAGTTTAATTTATGCATACCAAATTTCAGCTCAAAATTCAATCAGGAAGGCAGTTAAACAAATTCTTGAAACATACCGCGTTTTATATATGTACAAAATGGGATGTAACAGAAGAGCCGCCACTTGAAGTGGCGGCTTTTGTGAAGTAATACAAGAGCCTCCACTTGGAGTGACGGCTTTCCTTAATTGTGGTTAATTCCAACAGTAGTTTGGGAATTATTCTTAACCCGACAGTATTTCGGGAATAATTTATTTAATTAGCATCATTCCGAAAAAAACTCTAGTAGTTATAGTGAAATCTATTCCACTCATTTGCATATATGGATTAATGGATGTATGATCTGAGTTCCCCCACAGAAAAACAAAATCAATGAACGGCTAGGCTAAGGGAAGGATATATTAAAGTGTTTAGATGAAAGTGCAGAAGTATTTTTGAGTGTTCTAAATTGTTCCTAGAAGTAGTTTTTTTAGAAGTTGGGGAAGATCAGCTTCTGCAAAACCGATTATGATTTTTTTAGAATCAAATCCAAACCCCCTTAAGTTTTAGTCCCAAAAAACTTTAGGGTCAACTAAGATGAATGGATACATGATAGGAATAATAATTAATAACAAACTACAAAATTAAGACTGGCTCCAAACTCTAGTGCTATAAACAAAACAATCACTCAATATGTACAACAATAGGATACAAAGTAGTACTCTACGAGTATACAACTTTTGAACATATTAGCTGTGTACGAAAAAAGTAATAAGCACAATAATATGGTACATCATAAGACAAACTACATCTACCCAAAAAATGTCCACAAAAAAAGTCAAGAGTAATGTGAAAATAATAATAAAAGATACTATTAAATCACACCATTTAACTCTTTTATGGACAATTTTTGTGGATCCTAGGCATTGAACTAAGATGCACAATGTGACATAATAATAGGCAGGGGAAGTTTCCAATTTTCTCCTCGTCCTCATATACCCTAAAACGAAAAATATGAGGTGCTTCAAAAAATAAAAATAAAAAGAACTATACTTCTATGACAGTATGACCTAATTTGTCTACAATGAACAAATTGTCTGTAATGCACCTGGCACTGGCTGGAATCATGTTTGGGTCACTCCAGGTTAGCAATCCCAAGGGGCTTTTAAGTCTCACAAAATACAAAAGAGACAGGGTGGTTCACACTCCACTACACTACACCACACATAAAATTCATCTTTCCCCTTTTATCCACAAAAAGGAGGTGTGGTGGTGGACCCAATCCCAACTAAAAATAATAATTGGGTTTAAAACCTTTTTCTTTTTGACACAAAAGCATGAGAAAACAAAAGTTTTGGCAGACCACAATTTGCTGTCTGCCAAGAGGACTGAAAGGACATTTCACATCTAGGATTCCCCCATTCTACCTTCATGTCGTTTGCTATGCAGAGTGATACAAGAAATGATCTTGTTGGCACTGCCACTGGACTTCCCATATATTATAGTCTGAAATGTCAAAAGAAAACAAAATAGAGAATGGGTTCCAGAATAATTAAATAACTCAAAAATAGCTTCAGGTCAAAGGGGTAGAAATATAAAATTACCATTGTAATCTTGGATAGATGGTGATGTGAAGCATATATATTCAGACAAGGCACCCATTTCTCAGACGAAGGTCAATGTTTCTTAGATCACGAAGGTGTTGAAGGATTTCTTGAAGAAGATCCATCCCCTTATCCCCTTTCTTCAATGAGTTTAAGCAATTCTTTAAAAATTCTCTATCAGCCTCTAATGCTTGTAGCCTCTCATGCAAACAATCTAATTCCTCTTCAACGGCGGCCCTTTTGTTGCTTAAATCATAATTATCCGCTACATTTGGATCATAATCTCCATTGTCATCACTAACGGCATCAAAGTGTGGGAGTAGACTCTTCCCCATTGAGCTCAAGATTTTCGATTCGTCCATTTCTTCTTTAGCATAATAATCCCCATTGGCCTCTCCTTTCAAACCTTCTATTTCCCTTTCTGCTTCATAGTCCATGTTGATCATCTTTACCTCTAGTGCTTTTAGTTGTTCGAGAATAGCCACTCGCTCATCCTCAAAGTCCAAATCTAGAACTCCGTCGACAGGTGTGTTGTAAAACCCCTCTTGCTCTTTGACTTCCTCTTTGACTTCTTGATTATTATTATTATTATTAAGATCAAGTGATAATCCATCACCTTCCTCACTATTACTACATGAAACGGATGAAAATGCGCTTCTAGCACTACTTCCACAGTCTTTGCTTCTCCTCAAAATGGCTGCCATCTTCTCTTTAGACTCATATTCAAACACCCTTTTCTTATAAATCTCCAATTCTTTCTCCACCTCCTGTCTTTCTTTATCACGCTTAACCATAAGCTCATTTAAGAGCTGTAAAGCCTCTTGGTCATACTCCGCTTGCTCGTCCATCATTCTTTGATACTGAAGAGCCTCCATCTGGACAGTTGCCTTCTCTTCTTGAAGCCGGTTGATCATAGCCATTGTTTGGCTAGCTGCTATGGCAGAAGCACTCCTCTCTTCTTCCAGCTCTGTGTATAAAGCTTGGAGAGCCTTCTGTCCAGATTTCAAAGCTGATCTTAACCACTCGATTGTTGAGATTGGATCAGAAAGGTCCATTTCACTCATCACACTCCCATCTAGTGACCCTTCGTTCGCAAATTCTGTTGCTTTTTCTTGATCTTGTTTACAGCCTAAGATTTGAAACAGACACATTGTTACATCCAACTGGTTTTAAACTTAACAGAAAACCTACTGCTGCTAAACTTAGGATATTGAGGATAATCTGTTCAATCCTACCGTGATCGTGATGAAAGTGTGGAGCATTTGCACAGCTAGTGGAAGGACCTTCTTTGTTGGAATTGAGGTCATCTGCAATGTCCAAATCGGGAATTTCAGTGCCGATTGAGACTTCAACTTCTGTTTCGTTCAATTGCATTCGTGAGCTTTCTTCAGAAACTACAAGTAATATTTGATAAGAAGTTACAAACGTGAAGTTGCATTAGTGGAGTAAGTAGCACGAATGGTACCAGACTTGGTGGATATATTATTGCATTGTGGCACCTCAACTATTGAATGAAACAAAAAAGTACTCTGAGTATATTCAAATGTCTGAGTTGTCTGTTCCATTTGAGAAGCAAACAAGTACCCTAAATACATTTAAATGTTTGAGTTGACACTACCATTTCAAATTCACACCAAAGTCATACAACATGCGGGCTACAGCCTGAATTCCATGTAGATCTTCCAAAAAAAAGTAAAAAAAAAATAACTTCACATAATCTATATTATCAAACTCATATTAGTTTGACCAATTCAGAAAGAAACGAGATGTGTAGCCAGTCTAACCTACTCAAATTGGTTGAAAAATTAATTAACTTACGGAGTATTTTTTTGTGAAATACACACAAAATTGAGGCTATGAAGTCAGAGTATTTCAGCTAAAAACATAAAATGGGATCATCCTGGGATAATGAAATATACTTGTGGTTTGGATTTGCTTCACTCAAAAGTAGAGGTAGCAAAATGCATCCATACAAGTAATTGCGGAACTATTTATGCATTTACGAGTCTTCTTTAGAAACTACAAACATTGGAAAAGAATCACTTGAGTTAGCTTAATTCTTAACACACGCTAACTTTCATCTGTACTAGTCAGTGTTGTTATAGAGGGGGAAGGGATCAACTTACTTAGGTCTGACATTATTGTTCTTTACAAAAACCAAGTTACAGAACTGAAGGGATTACTCAAATTGTACCTGAAGAGGCATAGGCAACTTGTTTCTCTTGGGGTTCTTGAGAGTCCAAGATTTGAACTTTATTGTTTTGGGTGGATTCATGGCCTTCTCTTTCGGAGAAACAGTTCTTAGCATGAAAAACCAAAGAATTCTCATCTTCTTCAATCTCCATAGACTTGAACACTGCAAATTTACGTTCTTTGAGATCATCAGTTTCAGTTCCATTTTTGACTTCCCGTCCATCTTCCTCTTCCTCTGCAGTAAAGTCAACGGGAACTAAATCGTGCCCACTTGAATCTATGAAGAACTCGAGATGTTTGGGAGTGTTTTCCATTTCCCTTTCCGGATTCACCTCTACAATCCCATTTTCAAGAACCAAACCCTCTTTTTCATCAAAAATCACTTCAGTCTCAACCCTAATAGCTTCAAACCCTGATTTTTCTTCGATTTCTCTACTTTCCTCCTTGATCAACGGATTACAGGAAGATTTGATCACAATATAATTGGAACCCTCCTTCACCAAGCTCACACCACAACAAGAACACATCTCATCCCCACCATGGATCATCTTCAGTTCATTCACCAAAGGAAATATCCCGAAACCTAAGCATTTCCCACACATGCCCTTCGATTCAGCCAGTCTGTGATGGGTCTCACAAAATCCCAGCTCGGAAACCTCTCTGGAATGGGATTTGCACATAAGATCTATGTGTTTTCTATTATCCCCTGCTTTAAACAGAGGATCGAGGTTAGAGCACCAGAAACACGGCGGTTTGAGGCCAAAGTAGTCTGCAAACTTGGTGATCATGTACGACAGCATGGAATTGAGGAGGAGAAGGAATATAAGAGTCCATTCCAGGACTGCATAGGTCAGAACCACTGTGATCTTGTTCGTATTCTTCTGTAACATGGTTGCAAACTTGTTGGCCGCCATTGTTGATGCTCTGTTTCTTGATAATATATACAGTAGCAAGGGGGCGGTGGTGAGAGTGCCAGGAACAATGAAAGAAATGGGAAGAGGTTTTAGAGAGAGAAACAAGAGGGAGAGAGAAAGGGGAAGGAAGAAGGAGAAGTGTTTTCCAGTTTTGGACTGACAAGAAAGAGATATGGGGGGCTGGGTTTGAATTGACATGAGAAGCCAAAGGAGACGACAATCATTACAAACTAATGCACTGCTGTTGGAAAATACGGATTATAAAAAAACGGAGTAGTCACCATATTACCTAGCAAATACGAAGCAACCAGTTGTAGATCACGGATTCGAATCCCGGTAAATGTGACGAGAAGTTACTTTACTAAAAATGAAGGGTGAAAGACCAAAAATGACATTAACGTTTTTAACTAAATTCAAATTAGACATTAAGTTTTTAAGTAGATCAAATAAACACAAAATTGTAGTTTTTGGTTCCAATTGACCACTCTTTAACGTCTGTGTTAAACGGCTCTTCTACATTAACTCCCCATCGTTCCAAACATCGCTCACACAGCCACAATAGCCCCTCCCAGCTCCAGATCTAAGCAACCAAACCCCTCACCTCCCTAGCCCGAGCTCCAACGCCATCCCTCACCTAGTCGTTGCCTGCACCGTCACCCACCCACACCCGTAGAAATATAGAAGCAAGAGATGAAGTCTATTTTACTTTCGGCACTGAGAAGAAATTGAAGTCACAATCCACTAGGAAACTTGGCCGAGGTCGACATATGGTTGTTTGCTCTGAAATCGTGCGTTCTCATCAAAGGCTCTTGGAGAGGTACTAATTTAGTTTCATGTTACTGCAAAAATTTAGTTTTGTTGAACAAGTTTTCTGGCCCTGAGATAGGTATTGTGTAGGCTTCGATGCAGCGACGGCTTCAAGGGCGAGGTGAAGCGGCTGTGAGACAGTGATGCGGAGGTAATCTTTGAGGTCATGGTTGCCTGCTCTCCTTCGAGGTAATCTTCGAGGGCAATCGACCTCCAATGTTGTCTGCTCTCCTTAATCCAGATCCATGCCATGGTTGTCTGCTCTCCTGAACCCAAGCAGCTTTAATCAGATGGGGGAGTTAACGATGTAGAAGGGCCGTTTAACACAAACGTTAAAGAGTGGTCAAATTGGAACTAAAAACTACAATTTTGTGTTTATTTGGTCTACTTAAAACCTTAGTGTCTAATTTGAGTTTCGTTAAAAACGTTAATGTCATTTTTGATCTTTCTACCAAAAATGAATAAGGCTTCTGCAAGTAATAGGGACAGAGCATCACTTTCTATCTGAGACACGTCACCCCTTCCTCCAATACAATGTCACTTGGCATTATAATTATTCTTTCTCAAAATTAATTTAACTTTTTTATGTAATCTAATTTTTAACAAAAACTATATCAGATTTAATAACTTTTTATAGTCTTTCCAATGGTATTCATATTCATATATAAAAAATTGAAAAAAATATTTTTTTCTTACATCTATTTGAGGTTGGTTTTTTTAAAATTTTACATAAACAATATTGGTATCATATGAAAGATCCTAAAAATTAAAATTATTGATATAATTTTTGAAAAAATTGAACCAAAAATGCAAAAGTTATAACAATTGCAAAATTTAAAAGCATTGCCATACCTCTAGAGATTTTTACCCACTTTCATAGTTTCATTGTCCAATTCTAAACGGTGGGCCCTACAGTTTGAATAAAAATCGAATTGAACTAACACCGAACCACACCGTAATGGTGTGGAATCGAATATCATGTAATTGTTGGTCCCGTTTGTACTAGGAACAGTCTAGGGAGTCTGAATAGATTGTTAAGGATTTTTCAAACTTTTCTCAAGGTCACAAGTGACTCAACAGAGAAGGTCTGGATAGGTGACAGAGAAGGTCAAGTTCTGTTGGCAGAACTGGACCTGGCAGCGGATAAGAGTTCTGTCCGGGTAGCCTCATGAAAACACTAAGGCAAATGCCTTTCTGTTAACTCTCAAAGGAGATCTGCTGAGCACAGAGTCCAACTTCTTGAATTAAGCAGTAAGAATCTTAAGTGTAGAGAATCAATGCGTAAGGTAATTGACACCAGGGATTTTTATAGTGGTTCAAGGAACAACGTGTTCCTCAAGTCCGATGTTCCACTAAGCTTGTAAGTTAACCGTTACAACGCCTTAGTTCCTAGAACATAAGAAGCACTCCACGTCTTCTTCAAGCCTAGTTGCCACCCGGGATGCAGTCCTTGCTTCCTGATTGCTGGTCTTGTTTCACTGAGTCTCTTGAAGTATCCCCACTTCACTACTCCAGCTAGTATGAGACGTCCCTTCTTTTGCAAGAAGTGTTTGATTGAAAATCAGTTTTCTCCAACGTAGCTTCGTCACAAAAGATGTGTAGATGAGGCTTTAGAAGTGTTGAAGAACTGGGTGAACTTTTCTCTTGTTGGAAGAAAGGATATGGAAAATAATATCTTTCCAACGTAAGCTTTTCTTGTTGAGGAAGATGAAGTTTATATCTCAAGAAAGCTTTTTGAATGTTGTGTAGAGAGAAAAAGTTATCTCGATGTTCTTCAAAGTGTATCTTATATATTGGGAGCAGTCTTACCGTTGGAGTGTAGAAGACAACTTCCTTTAATGCTTGTACTGTTGATTTGACTGGTTGGTTCTTCGACTTGCTATTTTGGGGGCGAAAGGATATCTGCATGGTCAATCATCAACTTTAAATATCTCAACGTACGTTCCGCATTAAATGTGCATTTAATGCGTGAACAGTACCATGTTCAGTTGAGAGACTCCTAGGCGTTAGGGAATTTCCCGTTAGTATCACGGAAGTTGGTTAGTTCCTTCGAATTCTTCTATGTGCCAGTAGGTCTGATGACCAACTCTGATGTCCGTCTCTGATGGCAACTCTGATGGCTAGATCTGGTAGCATCGCTGATGAGCAGCTCTGATAGCAACTCTGATCAAGAGAGCCAAAGAGGATTTCTGACCAGTCGACTATGCTAATACTTACATAGAAAAATTCTAATACAAGATTTCTAACAGGGGTACTCTAATGTTCTAATCTATTTAGCCTAGCATCATCAAAATCTAACTACATTTATTCCTTACAATTTCCCCCTTTTTGATGATGTCAAAACCCTTAAACTGTTTCCAGTGAAGTGCCTTTCACCATAAAAAGAGTCAAGTTAAAAACTTTCATTATAAATCTTGGTGGACAACTTAACATAGGAAAATAGTAAGAGTAAGAAAACGAACAAGATAAACACAAAGTATCAGAGCAAAACAGTAAACAAGAGGTAAGGACAGAAAGCAGTAAGAGACAGAAGTTGGATAGTGCCATTCAAAATAGAAGCAGAGATGGTATATCTAAAGATACAATAGATTGAGAGTTTAAGAGTCTTCCTCTTCTACCTGTGCTACTGCGTCATCAATCCTCTTGAGTATTTAAAGATACAATAAATGGAGAGTTTAAGAGTCTTCCTCTTCTACCTGTGCTCCTGCATCATCAATCCTCTTGAGTTCTGCATTAACTTTGGCTCTGATGAAAGCTAAATTCCTCGGATTCTGGTATTCAGACCAGTGAGACTCCAGCTTGCAGTCCAGATAGTTCTGTATGGCTTCTGATATGTTCTTGCCTGGGATTACCTTCATTTTCCATCAGACTTCAGCTTCTTGAGTGGATCCACCACGATTTATCTGAACTAATCCATCATTATCCATAAAAAGATTTTCTTGCTGCCGGGGAGTCATGAGTTTCTTCATCTGTTCGAATTGAACTTTGTCAGGCCTTGACATCCCACTTTTCATCCAATCATTGAAGGAGAAGTTGGAATGACAAAGGAATGAGTGGAGGAGAGTCATTTGGCATCTAAAGTACCAAAGAGGACCCATCACCCCCATTTATTGGTGATTTGAGACAAATGTACACATCCTCTCCCCCCCAATCATCTAGCTCGCCCAACCCTACCATTTTGAGAGGATAAACTCTCAAAATACTCATCCTCCATAGCTGGACTCGAGCTCAAGGAGGAAGGTCCAAAGAGGAGTGTTTAAAAGAAGGAAAAAGTTAAGGAAAGTGTGAAGAATTAAGGTATTAACCTTATAAAAACTTTTCTCCTACTTTTATCTATCATGTGACTTATATAGCATATGAGGAACCCCTAGAGTTGTTCTACATATTTAGAATGAGGGGTTGGAAGGTAGTTCTAAGTCCAAGAACAAACATAGAAGCCAAAACGACCGGTTCACCAGAAAATAACCTTTTAGAGGTTATTTGTATTGATATGAGTTTTGTGATGATAAAACCATGTCAGGAGCATAACTAAAGTGTTTCTAGAGTTCGCCGGAGTTTCGTCGGAGTTCGCCGGAGTTCGCCGGAGTTTCGCCAGAGTTTCGCCGGAGTTCAACCGTGGAGCGTAGAACACGCTAAAAGCTCATTTAAGGCGAGTGGACGGCTTAATATCTTATAACTTTTGGGTTAATTATGAGATTACCTAAATAAATGTTATATGTATTCATAATGATGTTTAAAAGATATGTAAACACGGGATTAGCCAAAATGATTAGGCATGTATGAAATGAAGTACATGAATATGCATGGAATACGATATGAGAATTTCTATGAAATTGCATGCTATGTTTGAAAGGTAAAGAAAGCATAGAATGAATATTGTTAACTTAATATATATTATGATTAGGTTGATATGTATAAGGCTTGAAGTGACGGTTAACGAAAACGTTGAATGATTCATGATGGATTAATTAATACTGGTTGGTATTAGTTAATTATATTTTGATATAAATGCATGGCTTGCATGAATTGAAATACATAAGCTTTATGAAGTTATTTAGCTATGAATATGATATAGACTCTATCTAGGTTGATAGGAGGTTGAACATAAAATATAAACTTGGTGGAGGACCCTAGGACTAAAAGTCCTTAACACTCAAATATAAACTTGGTGGAGGACCCTAGGACTAAAAGTCCTTAACACTCAAATATAAACTTGGTGGATGACCCTAGGACTAAAAGTCCTTAACACTCAAATATAAACTTGGTGGAGGACCCTAGGACTAAACGTCCTTAACACTCAAATATAAATTTGGTGGAGGACCCTAGGACTAAAAGTCCTTAACACTCAAATATGAACTTGGTGGAGGACCCTTGGACTAAAAGTCCTTAACACTCAAATATGAACTTGGTGGAGGACCTTATGACTAAAAGTCCTTAACACTCAA